CCTCCTCCTCTCTCTGCTAGCCACTGTCCTGCTCAGGTACTCAGGTGCCATGGATGTGTCTGGGCAATCAGCTGTGTGCTCCTCGAAGGGGAACGTCTTGTCTTATGTATTGCAGTATCTCCAGTGATTAAGCAAAGCCTGGGCTGTAATAAGCACGCAGTGAGTGGAGGAATAAACATGGAGTAGGACTGGAGGGAAATGTGCTAAGATAAGAAATACCCTTCCAGAGGAATGGCTCTCAAAGAGTGGTTCCTAAGCCAGAAACACCAAAATCACCTGGGAATTTATGAGACATGTAAAAGCTAGGCCCTACCTCAGACCCACTGAGTCAGCTATCCTGGGACAGGGCCCAACAAACAGCCTTATTTTTTTTTTTTTTTTTTTTTTTTTTTTTGAGATAGGGTCTTGCCCTGTTGCCCAGACTGAAGTGCAATGACATGATCACTGCTTACTGCGGCCTTGATCTTTCAAGCTCAAGTGATCCTCCCAGCCCAGCCCCCTAAGTAGCTGGGACCACAGGCACACACCACAAACCCAGCTAATATTATTATTTGTAGGGATGGCGATCTCGCTATGTTGCTCAGGCTGGTCTCAAACTCCTAAGCAAAAGTGATCTGCCCACCCCTTGGCCTCCCAAAGTGCTGGGATTACAGGCACAAGCCAGCACACCCAGCTGGCAACCTGCATTTGAACACATCTTGCAGATCTTCTGATGCCTGCTGAAAACTTGAGAATGGATATGATAAAGCCATCCCTAGACCAGTATTAAAACCGCCATTGCAAAATTATAACTGAGACAGTGAAAGAGATCTGACCCAACCAACTCCATCTTGCTTTTAACCTCTAAGCTGTCCTTATTCCTTCCTGAGCGTAGGCTGAACTAACTTTGGGAAGAACTTAGTTTACAGTTTGAAACAAAGATGATAACAGTCTTTTCCCAAAACAAATCCCTTTTTTGCCTGAAGACCAGACTGCCTTTATAAAACTAACAAATTTGCCAAAGGATTAGTAATTGTGGTTTAGGAGTCATGCAGCTGGAGCCTGCAAGATTCCAAACCTCCCCAAATCGCTCCTGGGGATAACATCACTATTGTAAAACCTAAGATCAGTGCTTGAGATATTTTGCAGACCCTAAGGTGGATGGATCAACTGGCACCACCCAGGTGGATAAACTAGCTCATTTGGTGTTGCAGCCCACACTCAAGAACTGATAAGAAAACAGGAGGGATTTTATCTCCAACACAACTGATGAGCACTCCCAACTCAATGCTTTCCCCTCCATCCACCAAATTATCCTTTAAAACTCTGTGGGAATCACTCTTTCTTTATGGCGATTCCCCTGTCTTGATAAATGGACTCTGTCTACATGGCAGGCAAAGTGAGCCTATTGAGCGGTTATAGTATCTCTCTGAAAACAGTCACTAACATCTTTCTTTCTTTTCTTTCTTTCTCTCTTTTCTCTCTTTCTTCTTCTTTTTTTTTTTTTTTTTTTTTTTTTTTTTTTTTTTTTTTTTTTTTTTTTTTTTTTCACATAAGACCTAACACCATAAAAACTCTAGAAGGAAATCTAGGCAAAATCATTCAGGACATAGGCCTAGGCAATGACTTCATGATCAAAACACCAAAAGCATTGGCAACAAACGCCAAAATAGACAAATGGGACCTAATCAAACTCCACAGCTTCTGCACGGCAAAAGAAACAGTCATTAGAGTGAATCAGCAACCAACAGAATGGGGAAAAAAATTTACAGTTTACCCATCTTTCTTTTCTTTCTTTCTTTTTTTTGACTAACTTTTGCTCCTATTGCCCAAGCAGGAGTGCAGTGGCGCAATCGTGTCTCATTGCAAGCTCCGCCTCCCCGGTTCAAGCAATTCTCCTGCCTCAGCCTCCCGAGGAGCTGGGATTAGAGGCGCGTGCCACCATCCCTGGCTAATTTTTTGTATTTTTAGTAGAAACGGGGTTTCACCATGTGAGTCGGGCTTGCCTCGAACTCCTGACCTCAGGTGATCCGCCCACCTCGGCCTCCCAAAGCGCTGGGATTACGTGCCTGAGCCACCGTGCCCAGCCTCAGCCACTAACATTTTTACTGAGTCTTCTGGCACCGTGATTAACCGCGACACGCAGTGTCTCGTGCAATTCTCACAACCCCGTGAGGTAGGTCTCATTCGTGTTCCCATCTCTCAGACAAAGAAACAGAGTTTAAGAGGTTTAGCCACGCCACGGAGCTCTGGGAGCCTGGCAGTCTGGCCGCAGGAGGTGGGCTTCACAGTGGCGGCATCCCCTGAATTTAAGGAGTCTTGGGGGCGCGGTGTCAGCTCTGCTGTTTCATCATTGGGAGATTCGTTTTAGCCTCTTCGGATTTGAGTTCCTCAACTGAGAACACCACCAGAAGGAATTTAGGTTGAAACGAACATGCTGGAAAGCTTTCAAGAATTGCACGTGTAACATGTTCTTCGCGTGCCCGCCCCCGACACTGAGGCGCAGGAGTAACCCTGCTTCCTTCCCGTCCTCGCCCCACCCCGCGCTGCGCATTCTTCTCGCCCCCTCAAGTGGCGGAGCTCAAATTGCAGTTACTTGGGTCTAAAAAATAAGGAAAGGCTGCCCCCTGCTGCCCACGTGGATGAATAAGCCCAACTTGTTACCTGCCTAACTGGTCTTCCGGGGTTTTATGGAAAAAAATGCTGCGTGTGCGCTTGGGTATACCGCCCAGAGAGGCAACACTGGGCAAACGCCATCAGAATTTTTTAAAAACCATGATGCCAAGACTGCGTGGCATTATTACTCATAAGGCAGTCAGGATGAAGGCTCCCACTAGGTGATTGAAAGACGCTAACTTAGAGGATGAATTGTTGATAGGTAAACGGGGTGAGTGAACCAGGAAAACATGCAGATTTTAGATCAAAATAAACTATGTACTTCAATTAGGAAAGGTACTGGGAAGAGGCTTTGACACATTCCAATGGATGAAAGCAATCAACTTTTTTTGTTTGGTTTTGTTTTTTTTTGAGATGGTGTCTCACTCTGTCACCCAGGCTGGAGTGTAGTGCCATGATCTTGGCTCACTGCAACCTCCACCTCCTGGGTTCAAGTGATTCTACTGCTTCAGCCTTCCAAGTTGCTGACTGGGATTACAGGCATCCTCCACCATGCCCAGCTAATTTTTTTTTTTTTTTTTTTTGTACTTTTAGTGGAGTTAGGGTTTTGCCATATTGGCCAGGCTGGTCTCAAACTCCTGACCTCAGGTGATCTGTCCTGCTCGGCCTTCCAAAGTGCTGGGATTACAGGCGTGAGCCACTGCACTCAGCCTACTCCACTCATTCTTAATAGGTCATCATTCTTGTCAGTTTCTGTTGTATATTTACAGTGTTTCTGTATATAAAATCAAGTAAATACAAAAGGATATTTCTTTTCCCCACTCTGTTAGACAAAGCTGACATTTAGGTATGCTATTCTGTGACTTTCTCTTTTCTGATTAATAATGTATCATGGAGAACTTTCCATAGCAATACAAAATATTTTTATTCATTTTTAGCATTGAATATTACTCCATTATGTGAACATATCACAGTTTATTTATCCAGGACCTTACTAATAGGCATATAATTCAACTTTCAGTCAAATTAGTGAAATGTGTATTTTGATGAATTTTTTTTTAATTTTACATTTATTATTGTCATTTGTTTTCCTGATAGGTACTGTTTGGATTTATTTTTCTCTGAACAATTTGCTCTTTGCCCATTTTTATTGGGCTGCTTGATTATTTTCTTATAGATTTCTAGGAGTTCACCATATGTTGAGGAGATTAGCCCTATGGCAAGAACTGAGAATATTTTTCCCAGATTGTCATGTATATTTTGATTCTGTTTATATTTTATCATGCAAGTGTGTCATCATTATGCAATTAAGCTTGTCTTTTTTGTTTTTTCTGGATTTTAAGTCACAGCTTAAAATCCTTTGAATGATGAACACCCTCTGGGTAGGGCCAGGTAGTGACAATGGGGGCTGTGGCTTCTCGACAGGGAGGTGCCCCAACATGACGACATCTTGGAGAGGGGTGGGTACTGGGGAAGACCAACCCCTTCAGCAAACAGCCTTACAAAGACACCCAGCTCTAAGGAGCTCAGAACATCCTGAGGACAGTGCCTGGAGGTGAGGAGGAGCCCCTGGCCTGGGCCATACCCCACCATCAACTTGCACAATGGGGGTGATGTCACCCACACTCCACTCCCCTTAAAGGAGCAGCTGCTCTGGTGGTTTCTCCCAGGCTCTGGGGGTGGACCCATGGGAGGGGCTGTTTTTGTACAAAGCTGTAACATTGTGGGGACAGGGGGGCCACAATGATTCAATTCTATGGGAAACCTTTACAAAAACCTCTCTGGTGGTTCCAGCTCCCAGAGTTCCTCTTCCTTCCTCCTGGGTCACAGGTCTTAACGCAATTTGGTTCAGAATGCCTCTGCCTCACTCCTGACCGCATGTCAGACCAAGACCGTGGACGAGGACGGCCCAGATCAGAACTAAAGCTTCCCAGGCAGAGAAAACTCAGACATAAGAAGAATACTTCAGGGACCTCACAAGTAGAGGACTCAGGGAGGGTCCTGATCCCCGCAGAATGGGGACAAGGTCAGAGGGAAGGTGCATCAGAGGTGACCAGCTCTCCAGAGGACTCATGAAGAAGCCAGGGGTAGCTATGGATGGAGCCACAGGCTCTGGGTCCCTGCCCTCCTCTGAAGGCCACACCCTTTCCCTTTTGATGGACCCTCAGAGAGGGAGCATTTGAATGGGGCATCCTTTGAGGAAGGGACCTAGGTCCCTGTGGATGGACTCTGTCATTCTCCATGGTCCTGAAAAGCAAATGTCGAACGTGTTCTGTGCAATACCCATAAAGCACAGGAGGAGATTTCTAATCTCAGTGTCCACGACCCTAGCCAGGGCCCTCTCCTCCCTCTATGCCTTGAATGTGATTTGCACCTTGACCCTTGTCACTGTGCGAACACTGAAGCTTTCTTTGGAGAAGGCACCAAACTCACAGTTGTAGGTAAGACATTTTTCAGGTACTTTTGCGGATCTACCGTAGGGAAAAGTGGGTTCAAAGTATCCCTTTTAGAGTGGCTGTAATCTTATGTGCTAACTATGACTACACCTTCGGTACAGGAACCAAGTTAACGGTTGTAGGTAAGCCTGGGGGTCTCTAGGAGGGGTGCGATGAGGGAGGACTCTGTCCTGGAAAATGTCAAAGAGAACTGGGGCCAGACTGAGGGAGATGTCATCTTAAGTCCCGGGATTGAGTTCAGAGGCGGCTCCTTGTGAGGGCAAATCCACCCCGGCTTCCCAGAGCCTCTGAACAGAGTCCGCGCTGAGCCCAGGACGATGGGACAGAAAAGGGAAGGGGAAGATGCCTCTCTTCATAGTTCCCTGAGATAGGAGAGCCCAGAGAAAGCCTAATAGGCAATTAACAAGCCACAACACCTCTCTATCTGCTTCACTGAAAGAGGTTCTCTGTAGATTCTTTGTATATTCCTGTGTCTCTTTCTGTCACCTGCCCGGGTCTTGGGCAAGCTCTGGAAGGGAACACAGAGTGCTGGAAGCAGAGCTGGTGTCTCTGTGAGGGAAGAGTTCCATGAACTCCCACCCTCTGCCTGAATCCCAGCTGTGCTCAGCAGAGACTGGGAGGTTTTGAAGTGGCCCTGGGAGGCTGTGTTCTGGAAACACTGTATATTTTGGAGAGGGAAGTCGGCTCACTGTTGTAGGTGAGTAAGTCAAGGCTGGACAGCTGGGAACTTGCCAAATGGGGCTGGAATCCGGATGGAGCCTTTGTCTCCGGGGCTTAGGTTAAAGTGTATTTTTATCAGGAAGACCCATGAGGCAGACGAGGAGGGGACAGCGTCCCTCTCCACTGTGTCATAGGCTGCCTGTGCCAAGTTAGTTTCCCCTACTGAGAGATGGGTAGACTCAGCTTGGAAGGGGTCACCTTGAGCATCTCCTGTCTCCTTGAAGGGTGCCCATCTGACCTTACCACCATGGTCCTGCCATTTTTCTCCCTCACACAGAAAGGACACAGAGGAGGGAACTTGGGGCATCACACGGGGCCTAATCACCGCATTTTGGGTTGTACCACCCTCTACCTCCCGGGGTTAAAGTTCTGCTACGGAACAGGAGAGCCCTGGGGAGGCAGGAGTGGAAGGCAGCAGGTGGCAGTTTTCCTCCCAGTCTTTAATGGTGTGCAGCTAATGAAAAGCTGTTTTTTGGCAGTGGAACCCAGCTCTCTGTCTTAGGTATGTAAAAGACTTCTTTTGGGATAGTGTATCATGAGGTCGGAGTTCCCGGAGGGCTCCTTGGGGTGGGCAGAAACTGAGAACACAGCCGAGAGAAGCTCAGAGCATGTGGGTCAGTGGAGCGTGTGGTGAGGTCCCCAGGAGTTCTGTGAGGAAGCAGCTTCTGGAAGGAAGGGCCTGCAGCGGTTCCTCTGGGGTTTGCCGCACTCGTGATACACTGTGTAACAATCAGGTGCAGCATTTTGGAGATGGGACTCGGCTCTCCGTCCTAGGTAAGTTGCTGCACCAGGGCGGTCGGGCCACTGTCCTTTGGAGGCAGAGTTTTCTGCTTCTCCTCCCCGCGCTGGGGGAGGGAGATTGAGTAAAGTTTCTAACCCCGTGGGGTTCCGCAGAGCTGTGCCTGCCTTCCCTTTCGGTGTGTCTTGGTTGAGGCCTCTCTTTCTCTTCCCTAAGTCTTCAGTCCATAATCTGCCTCCTCACTCCCTTCTCGGCTTATCCTCTGTCTTAGGTGCACGGCTCTGCGTCTCCTAAGCTGCTTCTTCTTGCCCCTCATGCCCCACAGTATGCTTAGGCCTTCCTAACAGAATTCCTTTAGTCCAGACTCGTAGGCGTCCCCAAACTTTTTACACAGGGGGCCAGTTCACTGTCCCTCAGACCGTTGGAGGGCCGCCACATACTGTGCTCCTCTCACTGACCACCAATGAAAGAGGTGCCCCTTCCTGAAGTGCGGCGGGGGGCCGGATGAATGGCCTCAGGGGGCCGCATGCGGCCCTTGGGCCGTAGTTTGGGGACGCCTGGTCCAGAGCCATGAATCCAGGCAGAGAAAGGCAGCCCTCCTGCTGGCAGGGAGCTAAGACCTGCCCTCTGGCTGCAGATCTCCAGGTGGGTTTTATCTAAGCCTCTGCAGCTGTGCTCCTATAATTCCCCCCTCCACTTTGGGAACGGGACCAGGCTCACTGTGACAGGTATGGGGGCTCCACTCTTGACTTGGGGGTGCCTGTGTGGGGCCACAGTGATCAGTTGCTGGGAAGGGAATTGGGTGTAAGGACGGAGGTCAGGGTCGCCCCTTCCTACCTGGAGCGCTGTGCCCTCTCCTTCCTTCCCCGGAGCTCGTTCAGCTTGTTGCTCTGCTGTGTTGGCTGCAGCTCCCCAGCTGCAGAGCTCCTTGCTTAGTCTTCAGGGCTGTGTGTTTTTTCACTCTTCTTTTCATTGTTTTCTGGGACCCTTCTCGTCTCTCATTTCTTAGCGGATGTGTTGCTTCACTTTCCCTTTTTAAATTGCGTCGTCTCCAGTTTTTCCTTCCCATTCTCACTCCAGCTCTGTATTCTTGACTCCATTTGGTGACTAGCCCTATCCTCTATGTTAAGATTCTCCCCAGTACCCGCCTCCAGCACAGAACTCTGCTCGTGCCTTTATCTTCCTCCTTCTTTCTTTCTCTACCAGTCGCAGAAGATCCCTCTCTGTCTTCCTGAGGTCGTTTAAAGGTTCATGAGTCGGGGGGACCAGGCTGGGGAGACAGGTAGTTTCAGGGCTGCTCTTGAGACCTCCTGAGGGCTGAAGTCTGTGTCACAGCATTGCGTGAGCTGCAGGGAGTCTCCAGGGTGCACTGGTCTTGGCAGGTGTTTGGGGGATAGGTCCGAAGAGAGTGTTACAATTGGAAACTGACATTATCTTAGCAACAGGTAAGGTATACAGAAGACAAAATGGGTAGGAGACTCCACTTACTTAAGCCTCAGAATCTATACTGGAATAATAGGGTAAGGAGCCCACTAGGAAACTATCGCACAACCTTCCCCATGCTGGGGAGGAAGCAGGCAGGTGACGGAGTGGGGTTGGGAGGGGATGAGGTCTAGGATGGAGACACAAGCAAGGGTGGAGGAATGGGACACACAGGATCTACCGAAGTGTAGGGGTTGGGCAGACATTCACGCAGGTGGGGACACACACCAAGGAGTTGAGTGGAAAGTACAAATCACCATATTCAAAGGTCTGGGTTCAGGGGCTGTGGTGGGGGAGGTGTGCAACTTAAAAAAGCAACTTAAGTGGTCTCTCTAAGACATATCAACTAAGGGACTAACTAATATGAAAATCTTTGGTAAAGGATTCAACTTGTGACAATCCTTTTCATTCCTGCTGCTTATCATCACTGAGTCACACGGTTTGCCTTTTTCCAAACCTGCATCTCAATTTTCCCATTGAAAACATTTCCCACATTTGGATAAAGAACACATATCTAGGCTCGCCATGTTTCTGCACCGACAGCTCACTCCCAGGGTTGGAACAGAGCCAAGCAAAGGGCACGGTAAATTGTGGTTTCCTCCACTCCTCATGTGTCTTCAGATGAGGTCATTCCTTCCAGTAATCCAAGAAATCCGTTCTCTGCTCTGTCAAGCATGTGGAAGGGCGCAGGGCTCGGCAGTGTGAGCCTTCTGCTGCAATGGCCCTCGGACTTTGTGGTTTGTTCATACTCAGTGGGAGAGCTGGCCCTGCTTTTGAGAACGCAAAGCTTAACTGTGAATGGATTCCATCCTGGCCAGGCAGGGTCGCTGGACACTCTGAGACAGTACAGGGTTAATCCCACCACCATCAGCTTCCATGCAATTTCAGTCATCCTGTGCCCCAGGGGAGGAGTAAATGTGGACCATCACCTCAGGTATTGACCAGGTTTGGCTCTTTAAAGAAGCTTACAACATACAAGAAAACAAAATTGTTTAAAAAGGTGCTGGGCAGGTAGGGGAGTCAGATGTAATGGAAAAGTGTCTTTTCTAGAAAAGAAAAGCTAATTCTAATATGTAGTACTAGCCCAAGAGACAAATATATATATACCTTGATTTTAAAAAGGAAAATAATTAGAAAACATCAATTTCATTATTATAATTCAGATTTCGGGATTAGATAGCCATGCACCAAGCAAGGCTTTGAAGAATCAAGATACACAGATAAATTATTTGGATAGATGATCAGATGAGCCTCAGAGTAAAAACAGCTAAGACAATCCGGATATGATGTGAACGTAGGGAGCCGGGGAGACAGGAGGCAGTGCACATCCATGGGACAGCATAGAAAGAAGGGGCAAAGTGGAGAGAGAGCAGCAGACACTAGGATGGTGACCCCCAAACAATAAGGACCCAGAACAACATCATTGTGCTCCACTAAGGCCCTTCCCAGCCCTCTCTCTCTCATGCACACAGAGCCCCTACCAGGACCAGACAGCTCTCAGGGCAGCCTTGGTCCCAACCCCTCTTCCCTCTCCAGATGACCTGAGCAAGGTGTTCCCACCCACGGTCGCTGTGTTTGAGCCATCAGAAACAGAGATCTCCCGCACCCAAAAGGCCACGCTGGTGTGCCTGGCCACAGGCTTCTACCCTGACCACGTGGAGCTGAGCTGGTGGGTGAACGGGAAGGAGGTGCACAGTGGGGTCAGCACGGACCCGCAGCCCCTCAAGGAGCAGCCCGCCCTCAATGACTCCAAATACTGCCTGAGCAGCCGCCTGAGGGTCTCGGCCACCTTCTGGCACAACCCCCGCAACCACTTCCGCTGCCAAGTCCAGTTCTACGGGCTCTCGGAGGACGACGAGTGGACCCAGCCAAGGGCCAAACCCATCGACCAGAATGTCAGCGCTGAGGCCTGGGGCAGAGCAGGTGAGCGGGGCCTGGGGGGGTGCCTGGGGGAGATTGGGTGAGACCAGCTACCAGGGGAAATGGAAAGATCCAGGTAGAGGACAAGACCAGATCCAAAAAGAAAGAAACCAGCGCACACCATGAAGGAGACTTGGGCACCTGTGGCTCATTCTTTCCCCAGATTCTCAGCCCAACAGAGCCATGCAGCTGGGTCTCCTTTCTAGTGGCCTGTGTAACTCTCATCTGAATGGTGCCCCTCCAGTCCCCTCAGTGCTGCCACATGTCATGGATTGCAAGGACAATGCGGCTGACGTTGGCATGGCAGAGAAAAGGAGGTGCTAGGCGTAGGCGGTCAGAGGAGGCTGGTCTGGGTCTGGGAGTCTGTGCCAACTGCAAATCTGACTTGACTTTTAGTTGCCTATGAAAACAAAGTTTCTTATTTTCCTCCCCTTGCTTTCTTTCAGACTGTGGCTTCACCTCGGGTAAGTAAGCCCTTCCTTTTCCTCTCCCTGTCCCATGGTTCTTGATCTAGAAACACAGCATGGAGAACTCACAGACACTGGAGGGTTGGGGAGGCAAGAGCTACCTGTGCACAGAGATCCTCTGACTTGGAAACTTATTTTTAGTGGGAGATGTGTCTTCCAGTTTAAGTGACCAATCTGTTTATCAATTTCTCGCCAGTGAATTAAATGGGTACAAAAATGTCCCCTGATCACTTGTGGAAGGATAGAAAATAAAGTTATCTAGAACAGAGAATCAGCCCTATTCCTACTTGCAGAATTCCTTCAAAAGCCCTCCTTGTCTCACTGTCACTATGGTGACAGAGTCCCAAATTCTAAAGGTGGCACAGGAGACCCGATGATTTTCCCTGCCTCCTTCCACACTCTCCTCACTTCTCTCATCCCTGTCCTCCTTCCCTGCCAACAGTGTCCTACCAGCAAGGGGTCCTGTCTGCCACTGTCCTTTATGAGATCCTGCTGGGGAAGGCCACCCTGTATGCTGTGCTGGTCAGTGCCCTCGTGCTGATGGCCATGGTAAGCAGGAGGGCAGAATGGGGCCAGCAGGCTGGAAGTGACACATTGACAACCCAAGCAACTCAGACCCAGAAACATAGAGTCCCTGCCAGGATTGGAGCTGGGCAGTAGGGAGGGAAGAGGTTTCATTCAGATGCCTCAGAAGACAGCTTGCACCTCTGGAGGATCACAGTGGAAGGCTCATGCTGGGAAGGAGAAGCTGGAGTCACCTGAAAGCTCAATGGATGTTGTGACCTTACTGTTTGTATGGTCAATGGGCCCTATTAAGTCCTCTCAATCCCCACAACTCCTAGCACTTAATAATCCCCAAAACTTTCTCTTCTGCAGCTCAAGAGAAAGGATTTCTGAAGTCAGCTCTGGAAGTGGAGTTAGGAGCTTCTAACCTGTCGTGGTTTCAATACACATTCTTCTTTCGCCAGCGCTTCTGAAGAGCTGCTCTTGCCCCTCTGTGCAGCTCAATATCTGTCCCCTATATGCATGTACACCTGCACACTCAGGGCTGAAATCTCCCTAACCCAGGGGGACTCTAGCATCCCTAAGTGACTGAACCAATAAAAATGTTCTGCTCTGGCCTGACTTTGACTTGTGAGTGTCTGGATAGTTCCTCGGCTGTCTCTGAACTCCGTGTGACTCTCCCCGTTCAATCAGGATAGAAACCAGAGGTATTTGAGGAAAATGGAGACTCTTTACATAATAGGGGTGAGGGGCCCACCTTGAGATCAACAGCAGAGATTAACTCAATGTAAAAGGCAGTGATGGAAGGTGAAGAGGTTATCCTAGAACAATCTAGGAAGACACTGATGTTGAGTATAGGAATTTTCTTCATCTAACTATACTGTTCTGCCAGGAAAAAAGTGCTCAGAGGAAGAGCCAATGTACACAGGTGTGTTCGCCCTCCAGCTGGCCATGTCCCCATGACTAACAAAGCTGGATTCCGTATGCATCACCCACCTTCCTTGCAGCTCTTCCTGAACACTCCACTCATCCTCATTGGTTCACCAAGCTGATTTCCCAGCTCTGAAAAAGAGATGCTCTGACTTGGAAACTTATTTTTAATGGGAGATGTGTCTTTCAGTTTAAGTTACCAATCTATTTATAAATTTCTCTCTAGAATTAAACGGGTATGAAAATGTCCCCTGATCACTCCTGGAAGGATAGAAAATAAAGTTATCTAAAACAGAGAATCAGCCCTATTCCTACTTCCAGAATCCCTTCAAAAGCTCTCCTTGTCTCACTGTCCCCATGGTGATGGAGTCCCAAATCCTAAAGGTGGCACAGAAGTCCCGATGATTATCCCTGCCTCCTTCCACACTCTCCTCACTTCTCTCATCCTGGAAGCCCCTGAGCTGCTTCTTTCTGGCCATTTTGCGCATGCTTTTCTTCCCCGGGGTAACAAAGTACTCTTCTTCCCACGATAACTCCTGTTTAGACTTGAAGATTTAGCTTCAATGTCTTCCCCACCAAAAAAGCTTTTTCTGGCCCTTTCTTGTCCTTTCCTTGCCTTTTCCTCCCCTGAAACTAGATTAAATACACCCGTTATTTTGCTATCACAGTGCCTTGTGACACATCCCACTTGCTGGAAATTACCTCTTTATTTGTCTGACATCCCCAGGGACTATGAGCTCCTTGTTAACAAAGGGGCATTTTATGATAGTACCCCAGGGCTATGGTATGGTACCTCAGTTCAGTGTAGACACCATATAGGTTATGTTTGAATAAATAAATGAATAAATGTGTGAACCCAAAATGACCCAATCCAGGAGTAATCATCACCGTAAGTCCTGCCTGAAGTAGCTGTTATCCTTCAACTTATAGGACTACACCACACAGTCTTTCCCTCTTTATTGCAATACATACATGCATTCAAAGATGTGTGTGCATGTATGCACACATGTGTACATATATGTTTATATTTACACACGTGCACACATCATTCATTAAACACATATCACTGCAATGAAAAATTAAGATACCCAAATTACAGTCCCCAAGAAGTTTACCTGTTCACAGAGAGACTCACTTATGAACAGAAAGAGCCGAATGCAAGTCCATGCTTTGAAAGAGCAACATGAATGCTTACTAAAATGCAGTCAGAGAGTGGCCCTCAATTTCTGACAGGAATAATCAGGGAAGAGTCTGCGGTGACAATCTCTTCGAAGGAAGAACTGGCCTCAGTTGTTCACTCTAGAGAATGGCCATGCTGGTCAGAGGCAAGAACAAAAGCCCTGATGACATGGTGGGGTACCTCTGGGTACCATTTCACTGGTTGCAAGGGTCAGAAGTGGGAGTAACCAAAATTAGAGCTGAAAAGGCAGGTTGGTGCCTGCCACTCTGGGAATAAACTTACTTCCATGCAGCCAGTATGAAACCTGCACATGGTGGATGTTCACTAAACACTTGTGGAGTAGATGAAGAATATGGAGTTTGGACTTTGTTCAGGAAGCAATGGGAAATTACAGAGATTTCTGGACTGTTTGCCCTCCTGTGATAAGGTACCATCAAGTGCTCTGTGGATCTCCCTATGAGCTGCCCTGCCACCCCTCGCTCCTCCCACCCACTTCACTATAAATGCCAGTCTGAGCAGGTGGGCTCAGTGAGCCCCCACCAGGGACACACAATGACATAGATGTTCTGCTTAGGTGATGCGTGTTCCAAGGAGGGCCCTCTCTACCCCCCAGCATTACCATCACTGTGACGTTCCCCAAGCCCTTCCCATTTTAATTTTACTGCCTTTGTCTTTTCTAAGCCCCACACAATCAGACCAACCTCTGCCACCTGCGCTTCCTGCCTCTGCCCAGTGGTTGGGGGAGGGGGACTAGCAGGGAGGAAACATTTTTGTATCATGGTGTAACATTGTGGGGACTGGGGGGGGGAGCACGATGGTTCAGGTAGAGGAGGTGCTTTTACAAAAAGCCCTGCCCTAGTAAACATCCCCACCCTGTCCAGGGAATTCAGCAACCAGGCGGGAAGAGGTCTCTGGGGTTGGTCCCAGCTGTGGTCTGGCAGAGGCCCCCAATCCAGCCAGCACCTGTGCATCTCCCTGTCTAGACTCAGCTTCCCAGGAATGAGAAGGCCAAGACAGCAAAGTAGGATCATCCTTCAGAACTTTTAATAAAACTTGCTCTTGGCAAAGTACTTGCACATGAATTGTTTGTTAAGAACGGACGAAAACCCTGAGGGAAAGATATTGTCACATTTTTCAGATGAGGAAACTGAGGTCGGAAAGGTTATAGGTCATATAACTAGGAAGAAGCAAGGTCTAGCCTGCAACATTGCCCAACTCCAGCCACTCCAGTGCCGCTAATGCCCCTTCAGATTTCAAATCCACTGTATTGTCCCCAAGCCAAGTGGATCCTCTGCAAATGGGTGGTGACCTCATGCAAGATCCAGGTTAAGGTGTCCAGCTAACTCAGACAGGAAGAGATGGGCTCAGGAAAGAGAGAAAGGGTGTGCCCCAGGCTGTGCTAAGGGAGGCGGGGAAGGAGAAGGAATTCTGGGCAGCCCGTTCCCACTGTGCTCCTACAATGAGCAGTTCTTCGGGCCAGGGACACGACTCACCGTGCTAGGTAAGAAGGGGGCTCCAGGTGGGACAGAGGGTGGGCTGTCCAGCCTGGGTGACCCCAGAACCCTGTCCCTAGGGGAGTGGACACTGGGCCATCCAGGGCCCTCCTCGGGGAAAGCGGGGTTTCTGCCAGGGTCCCCAGAGCTGTGCGAACACCGCACAGCTGTTCTTTGGAGAGGGCTCTAGGCTGACCGTGCTGGGTAAGGAGGCCGCTGGGGTCCCGGAGCGCTCCAAGGGGGCGGGATGGGCAGAGGTGAGCAGCTGCCCTACTCTGAGAGGGCCTGTGCTGAGAGGCGCTGCTGGGCGCCTGGGCCGGGGACCCCTGGTTCTGGGTGCTGGGATGCTCAGCGGTGGGAAGGACCCAACTGAGCCTGGGACAGCAGAGCGGACGGCGCCAGTTTTTGTCCTGGGCCTCCAGGCTGTGAGCACAGATCCGCTGAACTTCGGCCCAGGTACCCGGCTGACCGTGCTCGGTAAGCGGGGGGAAGCCAGGGACCCGGGGAGAGGGCGCTCCGGGACGCCGGGGGCATCGCAGGGCCAGTTTTTGGGTTAGGCCCGGGGGCTGTGAGCCAAAGCACTCAGTACTTCGGCGCGGGGACCCGGCTCTCGGTGCTGGGTAAGCTGGGGCCGCCGGGGCACCGGGGGCGGGACGGCACTCGGGTTTTTGTGCGGGGCTCGGGGGCCGTGACCAAGAAACCCAGTACTTCGGGCCAGGCACGCGGCTCCTGGTGCTCGGTAAGCGCGGGCGCGGGCGGCTTGGGTCTGGTTTTTGTGGGGTGCCCCCGGGCTGTGCTCTGCAGCGAACGTCCAGACTTTCGGGGCCGGCAGCCGGCTGACCGTGCTGGGTGAGTTTCTGCGGGGCCACCCGGGCGGCGGGGTCCGGTGGGAAGGCGGCTGCGGCAGCCGCTTCGCGGCACCCGGCTCCCCTGCCCTTAGCTGGGAGACCTGGGCTGGGTCCCCCGGGTGGGCAGGAGCTCGGGGAGCCTCGGGGGTTTGCGTGCGGGGCTGCGCCTCTGTGTTCCTATGAGCAGCACTTCGGGCCGGGCACCAGGCTCACGGTCACAGGTGAGGTTCGGGCGTCTCCCCACCTTCCAGCCCCTCGGTCCCCGGGCTTGGAGGGCGGCCGGGAGTTGGAGGAGCTGAGAACCTGGGGTGTGCTCTGCAGCGTCACCTTCCCGCTCCTGGGGAAAGACTGGGGAAGGGGCCGGGGGATGGGGGGCTTGCTGCTCAGAGTCCGGGAAGGCGGGCAGAGGACGAGGCCACTTTTAATCTTTTTTTCTGGGGTGTTTAGAGAGAAGCTGAGCGATGAAGAAGGAGAGGATTTGTTAGGTGTCTGGGAGGGGCGAGAATGGAGAGAACCAAGGGAAAGGCTGGTTTGGGGAATGGGTAGGAGGGGGTGTAACTGCTACTCAGAGGCAGAAAGAGCTGGGCGGGCTGAGAACCGCGCGGGTGGGCAAGGGTCCGCACTGCGGGCGGGCGGGTGGGTGTCAGGGCGCAGAAATCCTGCAGCCAAGGGTTCAGTAGAACAGAGAAGAAAAAGCCTGCCAAACGAGTAACAGAGGTCAAAGAGAGAGATGAACATGAGCCAGCAAAGAAAAGAATCAAAGTTTACTGTTTAGCAGTGTAGATCTACAATTCGACTTAAAACTCCTGTTCCTGGTTCCTATTCCTCCTAAGCCAGAGACCCCTGAGTGCAGGGTGAGGGCACAGCGTTCGCGCTTGCCCATGGGCTGGTCAGCAAAGAGGTGCTCGCCTGAGAGTGGGGCACATAACCTCAGCCACTGGGGTACACTTACCACCCCTCAACCGTGTAGCTCCCTCCCCTGTCCTGAAATCTCCCTTTATCACACGAAGTATTCTAGGTTGAACAGCCCAGATGTTCAGGGAGTTCATTTGCCACAAATACACATTAAAACGCAGATATTTTTGCCTGCAAGATGAGGAAAATTCTTTGGAAGATTTTGGGCCCTGAGAGCTGCAAAGGGACGCTACACATCACCTAGTGATGACCGCCCTGAGGCCAGAGAAGAGAGCTCACAACAGTGGCACATTAACCTGCACTATTTGTAGCTGGGCTGTCATTAAGCTGGGTGGAATGGGGCTCAGCTACAGTGATATGTACCCAGAGAAAATGTGCGGTTCCTGCACTCAGCTGGGGTGCAGAAAAGAGCCTGACTTTAGAACTAGATGAAGGCTGAGTTGAACCTCTGACTCTTTTGTGATGTGGTGACCTCGGGCAAATTAATGTGTGAACCTCAGTTTCCTCAACTATAAAATATAATGAACAATACCTACCACTTACTATTGCTGTGAAGAAGAGAAGAGGATCAACGTGTACACAGATTATTGGTGTAATTCAGTGCTCCTTTTCCCCATCGTCCCCTAGGAGGTCACTGGGGAGGCAGGGGCAGGGTCGGCCCAGTGCCAAAGAACAGGCAGGATCTGGAGTACAGCTGTGTCTATGTCAGAGGTGGGTTGGGAAGAAGTGAGACAAACATTACAACTTTACCTAAGGTGAGTGCAACCCACAAGTAGAGCACAGGCAAACAGCGGCTCACTAGTACCCACACTTACACCAGCAGCTCACACATCAGCAGCTCACTAGTACCCACACTTACACCAGCAGCTCACACACCAGCAGCTCACTAGTACCCACACTTATACCAGCAGCTCACACACCAGCAGCTCACTAGAGTACCCACACTTACACCAGAAGCTTATTAGTACCCACACTTACACCAGCAGCTCACTGGTACACACACACCCACAGAGACAAGCCCCACACCACAGGGACTCACAAACACTGAAGGAGAATTGACTCTGCCCTCATGTACAGATAGTGTGTTGGTTACATTGAGGGGTAGCTAGTGTTCGCTATGCCCATTGCATCAATAACTATTCTAGAGAACAGCATACATGGTCGAGGGACATTTTTAACTTTTACAATGGGGACTGAGTGTTTGCTAAATGAAGGGATCAAAGGAGTGCATTCTGGAGGACTGGTAGACTCCCAGAGCCAGGGGTTTTGAAATGAGAGCGAAAATAAGCAGGCTGAGAGCAGAAAGAACAAAAGTTCTGCAGATAGAAGTTAGGATATTACCATTTCAGCCCCAGCTCAGCAAGTAAAGACTTACAAGCATAATAGTAACTAGCAAGGTAGGAGTTGTGGGGTGGGAGGGAAACTGACACGATGGGAAGCAGGACCAGCTCAAAATGAAAATGCGGGGGCTCTTGTTAAAAAACGACTTAGGATTTTGAAATGGTGACAGAAGAGCACTAAACCAAGCAGGGGGCCCTTCTAGCAGGAAGCCCCATGGGGACCCAGGAAGGAAGTCACATCCATAGCAACGTGAAGACATATCAGAAGAAATTTTCTCCATGGACCGGGAGATTCGGAATAGGTTCTCCTAAGAATGATATTTCTTCATTTTAATGGAGTTGCTCAGAAATGAAAAATAATCAATGGGAAGAAAAAGGATAAAAAAAAAAAAAGATGAGTAGGAGGGCAGGCTCCAAATAAGTGATTCAGCCAATGAGAAAGGTCCTCAGGGATTAAAGTGGATGCACTCACATGTCATCCCTAAGAATCTATAAAGAGGATGCTCAGGACAGGCACTGTATCAACACAACTAGTAGTGAGAAGTTACTCTGATGATGTCAGATGTTTATTTGGGAAACTTGCTAGTAGAAAAAAATACAAGTAATATTTAGATGCAAAGGGACACAGAAGGTTGAAGCGTCCCTAATTTTGAAATAAAGGGAGATTACTATCTGTCTGAGCTGAGAAAACTTAGGGGTACTTGGAGTAGAGGAATGGGTAAGATGACTTCATGCACAACAAAAAGAAAAAACCTCACATTCTCATGACCACACTGTAAAACCAAAGGGTGTCCTCATGTGAGTGCAAAAAGCATGCCATCTGTAAATCTAAAGAAAGCCCCCAGTTCCAAAATGTCTCCCTCATCCCATATTCCCCTTCATTCCTGAGCACATTAGATTTGATACAAATAACCTGCTTGGGAGGGGGCTTTTTGAATCTGCGTTTAATTTAACCTTCATACACCTTCTGCAAAGTCAGTGTCGTGATTCTTACTTCACAAGCAGAAAAAAGGTGATAGGAATTGCTGTCTTAAAAGTCTCACTGGCAGACAAAGAAAGTTCTAGGATTTGGATCTTGTTTTTTCAGATTCCAATCCTTTGCTCCAATTAAAAAACCACCACCACATAAAATGGTGAGAAGTAGGCAGGCGAGTTTTTATTGATGGAGAGGAAATCAAATAATGTCAATGAAGAGACATTGCCTAGAATGTTAGGGAGTACTTAATCGGGTGATGGACAGAAAATGGACAGTGCTGACCCATAGGGTGGGTGCAAAAGACAGGCAAGGAAGAGGCAGAAAAACCAGAGAGGAATAGGCTGGTGACCCCAAAGCAACGAGGACCTAGTACAACATCATTGTGCTCCATTACGGCCCTTCCCAGCCCTCTCTCTCTCATGCACACGGAGCCCCTACCAGGACCAGACAATTCTCAGGGAAGCCCTGGCCCCAACCCCTCTTCCCTCTCCAGATGACCTGAGCAAGGTGTTCCCACCCACGGTCGCTGTGTTTGAGCCATCAGAAACAGAGATCTCCCGCACCCAAAAGGCCACGCTGGTGTGCCTGGCCACAGGCTTCTACCCCGACCACGTGGAGCTGAGCTGGTGGGTGAACGGGAAGGAGGTGCACAGTGGGGTCAGCACGGACCCGCAGCCCCTCAAGGAGCAGCCCGCCCTCAATGACTCCAAATACTGCCTGAGCAGCCGCCTGAGGGTCTCGGCCACCTTCTGGCACAACCCCCGCAACCACTTCCGCTGCCAAGTCCAGTTCTACGGGCTCTCGGAGGACGACGAGTGGACGCAGCCAAGGGCCAAACCCATCGACCAGAACGTCAGCGCGGAGGCCTGGGGCAGAGCAGGTGAGCGGGGCCTGGGGGATTCCTGGGGGAGATTGGGTGAGACCAGCTACCAGGGGAAATGGAAAGATCCAGGTAGAGGACAAGACCAGATCCAGAAGAAAGCCAGAGTGGAGAAGGTGGCAGGATCAATGTTCACAGGGTCAGCAAACCACAGTGTGCACTTTCTCCCCAAGAAGCATAGAGGCTACATGGGGCACCTCAAGGTCATTCTTCCCCCAGATCCTCACACCTTAGAGCTCAGCTGACAGGTCCCCCTGAGGACCAGCCATACAGGTCAGCATCTGAGTGGTGTGTGTCCCATCCCCTTCCGGGGTCCTGGTTTCCTAAGATGTAGTGACCATGTCTCTGGCAATGGACCAGGATGAGAGAGACAGAACCAGGGCTATCAAAGGAGGCTGACTTTGTACTATCTGACACGCATGTGTTCATGGCCTGTGAGTCCATGACCTTAAAGTCTGTGATGGAAGTCTCAGTGTCCTCACAAAGCAGCATTCTCTCATTCATTTTTCTTCCCCTGTTTTCTTTCAGACTGTGGCTTCACCTCTGGTAAGTCTCTCCTTTTTCTCTCCATCATCTCTGCTCTGGAACCAGGGCATGGGGAATCCACGGACACAGGGGCATGAGGGAGGCCAGAGCTACCTGTCCACAGGTACTACATGCTCTCTGTTCTTGTCAACAGCGTCTTACCAGCAAGGGGTCCTGTCTGCCACCGTCCTCTACGAGATCTTGCTAGGGAAGGCCACCTTGTATGCCGTGCTGGTCAGTGCCCTCGTGCTGATGGCCATGGTAAGGAGGAGGGTGGGATCAGACAGATGATGGGGGCAGGGTATGGAACATCACACATGGCCATAAGGGAATCTCAGCGTAATATATCCTATCATGTCAATGAAACCATAATGGACTGCCAGGCTGGGGAGAAAATGCAGGGAATCTGACAGAATGCATCACTGCAGGATGGAGAGAACCAGAGAACCCTACTCAAATTAAGCCTCAGAGCCCGCCTCCTCTGCCCTACTCCTGCTACTTCATAGGCCCTGAGACTCTGAAGATGTCCTCTCTTTTGCAGGTCAAAAGAAAGGATGCCTGAGACCAGCTCCAAAAAGCCATCCAGGGTCGTTCTTCATCCTCACCCAGGATTCTCCTGTACTTGCACCCAATCTGTGTTCCTAAAAGTGATTCTCTCTCTGCCTCTCATCTCCTTCTTACATGAATACTTCCTTCCCTCTTTCTTCTGCTTCCCTGAAGACTGAGCTCCCAACCCCCAGGTTTGAAATAGACTAAACAAATAAAAATGCTGTGCTGGGCCTGGTTACGTTTCAGGAGTGTCTGTGGAGTTCTGCCCGTCGCTGACCTACTTCTGATTTAGGGAAAGCAGCACCCCCTTGGGCATCCAAAGTGATTGGCCCTCTTTCTCTCCACTCAATGTTGCTTTCTTTTGTTCATCCTGATGGAGGTTCTCAAATACCATGTCCGTATCCAGGCATTCTGGGTCCCCACTGGAGGGTTAGTCTGAAGGGCAATGGCTGGGCTCTGGGAAACCAGCAAGATGAAGAGAGAGGGGAAGGAACACAGCAAACCATAACCCCTTGCCCAGTGTAGGACAGAGGATGGGAGCAGACCTATGGGTTACAATGTCCAGTCATTTCCCAATCCCAGATTCAAGTGTCATATGTTACACCTTTAGTTTTATTCATGCACAGTCTTAACACCTCCAGCTTACCTTGTTTCGGGATTTGGGCTTAAAATCAAGTGCTACTCTACGTGTCTAGGTTTAAATACTAGAGAAGACAGAGTTGAGACAACTGATATGTAAAGCCTGGGGATGAATGATTTCCTGGGAGCAAGACACACCAAATCAGGAGCAGTGGGATGCAGGACCCAGTGGGAGCTGAAGGGCTATGTGCAGAGTAGCCCTTCCAATGGGCTTCTTTGCTTGATGGATGGACACCAAACCACTCCAAACACAGGGTGTTAAGTGCTCCTACTTGGGCAAAGACAGTTATCCTGACAAGGTAAATTCTGCACACAGACTGAATTCATTTTGGTAAAACACTACACGGAGGAAGAGGAGGAATGGGATTAAAGAAAAGCAGGCCTAGAATGCTGAGGAGCTGAGAGAGGTCATGTTGAAGGTAGTAGAGGAAGGCTGTCAGGGGCGAGAAGTGAGATCTGAAAGCAGAGGAAGGGTGGGAAGGAGGAGGGAGCCCTATGCTGAGAGCCTGCTTGCTTCAGGCCTTGGGCTGGACACTGCTACCTGTGCTGTCTGCACCTGCATGATGATCCCGGAAGCAGGTGTTATTTTCTCCACATTATAGATGTGGAAACTGAAGATTACAATCAAATAACTTATGAGTGGTGAAACCGTGGCATGTTCTGCTAAAGATGGCAATTCTGGAAGCTTTTCCCAAGTAGTGGCCAGCATGATCCTAGAGCAGCTTCTCCCAAACTCCAGGCAGGAACCATGGTAACACGCTGAAGACACCTTGATGCTTTGGTGTATTAGTTTCTCAGGCCTGCTGTAACAAAGTACCACTGGTGGGTTTAAAACAATAAAAATTTATTCTCTCCCAGTTCTGGAGGCCAAAGATACAATATCAAGATGTCGGCAGGCCATCCTCTATGACAGTTTTAGGGGAGAATCCTTTCTTGCTTCTTCCCACTTCTGATGGCTTCTAGCACTCCTTGGCTTGTGCCAGCATCACTGCAATCTCTGCCTCTGTCTTCACATGGCATTTTCCCCTGTGTCTCTGCAATTAAGCTCCCCTTTCCTTTCTCTTTTCAAGGCGTGGTCATTGGATTTAGGACCCACCCTAAATCCAGAACAATTTTATTGAGAAATCTTAACCAATTATACCTGCAAAGTCCCTATTTCCAAATAAGGCCCCATTCTGAGTTTCTGAGTGGGCATGAATTCTGGGGGAACACTCTTCATCCCACTACACTGGGGATCCTGGAACTAGAGAAGACGGTTCTCTGGTGGCAGCTTGCAAAGACCAGGAAAGGACGCGCCCATGGCAGGGATGGAGCCCAGGAAACCCATCACATGCCGGTCACTTCCATCAGTTGTAACTGACTCTAGATTGCTCAAAGTGCAGTACAGTATTTTTCTGGCTCTTGTTGTTGCACATGTGCTAGTTTGTTTTTATATTGGATTAAAAAGCTTAAAACAAGGGGGACAGGCCTTAGGTTCTAGACCAGCATTCACAAAGCATGCTTCCCACTCCTTAGGCCTGCGTGAAGGTAGCAGGCATATCCCTGTGGCTCCTCACAAAGGTAGGACAGGAGAATGAACAATAGGGAGAGCAGAGTTGTGGGGGCCAGAGGACGCAGGCTGGGACTGGGGTGTTGGAGGACAGTGGTTGGTGTGGGCAGAGATGTGAGAGGCTGAGCAGCTGCAGTGCAAGATCAGAGTGGAGGTGGGGAAGCGGAAACACCTCGCGGAAGAAAGATGGTGTCTGTTGGTTTGGTGGCCATCATCCTGGGGATGTGAAAAGTGGAGGCATTAGCAGGAGGGAGGATGTGGGAGGAGTTTCTTGCTGGTACCTTAGGGTTTGCAACCAGACCAAGGTGAGGAATAGAAAAGTCTCCTCTGGAGGATAAAAGGCCACATTCATTCCACCCTCCCAGTGCAGGGTAATTGACAGAGTTGGAGAGAGCTTCAAGCTCCATCTGGTCCTCCCAACACCCTACTTGACCCAGGGCAGGTTCCTCTTCCCAAGTCTTTACAGCCATTTTCTTGGCTCTCTCAAACAACACCAGGCCAGCATTCAGCACACATGCACTGTGATGTGAATCTCTTCAGCCTCTACCTGCCTCTTTCTGTAGAATTGAAATGGATTCTTCTGGGCCAATTCTGGGCATCTTCTCCATTCTCAGGTAACGCCGAGCAACAATGAGCTCGATGTAGGGCAATCATATAACTTAGTGTAAGAATTGAGACATCACTGAGAACGAAAGGGGCCACTAGCCAGATGGCATGCTGGAGCAAGAGGAGCAAACCAGGAGTAGTCAAAAGTCCCCCCTCCCCACAGAGGACAGGCTCTGAGGGAGTTTCTGGGTGCAGCATTATTTCTACAAAGGGAGGCACTAAAGGGACTCCATATCAACCTGGACTCATTGACTGGTTCAAACCTCAAGGCCGACCTAAGCATCATCCTATTAAGAAACTATGTGGACAGAATATAGGGCAAGGCAGGGACAACAGCATCCTATACAGGTAGCACCCAGTGCAGAGCAAAGCATGCTTACTTATTGAAGAAGTTTACAAGAAAAGCATCTCTGGAAGAATGCCTGGGGTGTCCTACATTCTCACCAGACTTACCATGGGGTAGCTCTTAAAGAGAACTTTACCTGTGACCTTTACAGATTTATGTGGGAATTGGGAAGGAAAAGGGGGTCGCCCAACTGGTTACGTAATTTAAAAAAAACTTCTTTGTGGGGTAAGTGGGATTTCCATGGGCATCCCAAAGCTCCAATCACCATCACTTCCCTAGAGGAAGAATCTTTCCATCAGCACCAGTATCAATAGATTTTCCTACTACTAGCTCATTGCTGGGTTACATAAGGTTGGGGAGTAGGGATGGTTGGGAGCTGCTGGGACCATCCAAGAGAAAAAGGCTTTTTTTCTCTCCAGGGAGTGAGTTCATAATAAGAGTTTGAGATACGGGCAATGGATCCTAATATATATTAACATCTCTATTTCCTGACCCATGCCATTTCCTCATTTTTCTTCTGTAGTGACCCAGAAAAGAGGGGCAGAGATAGACTGACATCAGCCCCAACAGTGTGTGCCACACAGCCCCAAATGTCCTATAGAGGAGAATCTTTGTGAGGTTTCTCTGGTTATAAATGGATGTGGGAATGAAATATTGGTGCTTTGAGACCTCTGCTGAAGCTGCAGTGTGAAAAGAAAAATGTGTTCATGCCTAGACATATTTTCATTTAGGGGTGTTGGGAGATGCTGGCAGAGATCATGGGAATGGCCAAAACCCACAGGCGAACTCAGCTTTGCCATGAACCCAGGAGTGAATCCATTTTCTGCTTCTCTGCTGACATCTTAGACTCATCACCAGGTTCACTTTTACCATGTCCCTGGAAATTCCCCTATGCCGTATAAGAAGACTCAGAGCATAGAATGGCATAAAGCACAGCCAACAGGTTTAATCACAGTTCACTTCAATTGCTTGTGGCAAACTCCCGTGGCTTCCAAAAAGGTGATTTCTGAGCCTTGGGACCCCATAACCTAAGACTTTACCCAACACATCTAGACACAGTGTATTCCCTGCCTTTTTCTATTGTTGAATATTCTTTCCTCCCATCCAGAAGCTTTTCTTTTCTTGCTCTCTGTGTTTGTGAATTTCAAGTTTCTTTGTTCCTTAACATCCCTACGTCTCTGCCTGTCCTTAAGATTTACTGTAGCAGAACTTGGTCTTTCCCTGAAGCATCTCCCTCCAGTAGACAAGATATTTTCTATTCACCATCCTCTTCTCCTACAGACTCAACAACATGTCTTTCTTCCCACCTCTATCCATGGTCTTTACCTCTGTTGCAGGTAGACTCCAGAGAGGGCATCTTGGGGAATATGGGGTCCCAGAAATGAGTGAATTGCTTCTATAGGTCAGCAAACAGATCTGAAAATGAGCCTACACCTGTGACTATTTCCAAAGGGTTTTCATCAGCTTGCTCTGCAACTGATCTCAACTGTCCTCCGTGAGTATGAGCATTTAATTCAGTCATGTAAAGCTAATTCTCAGCTCCTTTTTGCTGACCTACAGTTGCTATTCACTTATCCCTGGGACCCCACGTTCCCCCAAAAGCCCTCTCAGGTGTCTACATGCAACACAGCACTCATATTCAGGCAAGAACCCATAAATCTGTGAGAGACAGAAGCATTAGAAACTTTAAAACTTGTGTTTTCAGAATGGGAAAAAGCATGTAGTAGGTGGATGAAAACAGTATCATAGCCAAGAAGATGTTTTAATGCAGAGACCTGGGTTTAAGCCTTAGTTCTGACATTTATCAACCAGGTCTCCCGGGCAAGCGACCACCTCTGAGACTCAGTTTTCCTTTCTGTAAAATGAGCACGATCACAACCCCAACTTCATACAGTGGTTTTACCTTATTGAACCCACACAACATGCAAAGCTTTTAGAAAAATACCAGTAAGTATTAGGTGTTATTATAACTACTACCAGCCTGCAGATTTTTTTCAGGCTAAACATTTTCAGTTTCCTCAGTTCTGTCATTACAGGGCACAGTTTTGAGCATGTTCTACTTTCCATAGCCCAACCACTCCCTTCTGAAAACATTAAAGTTTGTTTTCATCCTTCTATCTTTTTAAAAGTGTGTTGCACAGGACCTGATCCAGCACCAGGTGGGTTCTGACCTACATAGAGTACAGGGGGAACTTTGCCTCCTCATTCTCAATATCGTATACATTAGTTGATTCCATTAGGACGATTTTTCAACTTCTTGTACTTTCATCATCCCATTGACCCACAGAGCTCACTTTGACTCACACCCTGTTGTTTTTCACATATACTTCTTGTTAGCCATGTATTCCCCTTCCTGTGTTCATATAGGTGGTTTTCTCTGTATGGTGGGGGAGGAGGGAGAGGGAGAATGTATTTAATTCTACCATGCATGCTTATTCAGCTCATCTCTCCAACTTAACAAGATTCTGCCAGATTCTAATTCTGTGTTTCATTATATTTATGCCTCTATCCTCATGCCATCTCAGGTACGATCATCTTGCCTGATTTATTCTTATACGAGTGATTCATAAAATTCATAGCAAGATCACAGCTTCACATAGAGCCCACATTCCCCAAACCTTGTCCGAAGTCCAGGAGCTGCTAAAACACAGAGAATTAGCTTCTGGTTCTCCTCTGGCCCTGGCTGCATGGCTCTGAACAACTCATTTTTATTCTCTGGGCTTATACATCCTCCTCTGTGATATGAGGACATTGGGTAAAGTGATCTCTAAGAATCTTCAAACTCTGCTCTTCAGATTCCATGATTGAAAGCCTGCAGTCTCTGAAGTATCAAGAGGATGGTAACTCAGAGAAGCTAAGCTCTTCCTGGCCTTAAATCTTACACCTCTGTGACATGGTCTCAGACTGTCTGATGGGGGAAGGGGGTGGCACAGCACTGGCACAGTTAGTAAGAGTCACTTGGAGCCCTGACACCTGTTCCCTGGCCCTCCTCCAGCAAAGAGGTCTAGGGCCATGAATGAGAAGAAAATTGTGTTTAAAAGGAGAGTGGCCCTGAATCAAAAGGTGGGAAGTAATGAGACTCAGGTTGGGGTCTTTTAGGTTATAGCTGACAACTGGGGTAGGGATGGGGGTTCTGAGCCCAGTGCTGGTTGCCAGGCTGTTTTATCTCTGAGTAACATCAGCACCAAGTCACAACAGCCACCTGCCCCTAGCTCCATCTCTCAGAGTCACAACAGGATGTGGTTTGACATTTACTGGGTCCTACATCTGGGGTGCCTGTGAAAGTCGCTCCCTCCACCCACCCACCTTCAGAGCATCACGAGAACCACACTCACCGCATCCGGCACCCAAACTCCACCTATGCTGCTGTTTCTAACTGGGCTCCTGGTTAGCATCCTGGCAGTGAAATAGAACTAGAGGGGAGGGGACAGGGTCTCTAGAAGGGAATCTAGGTATCCCAGCTCCATGTGCAGGCCTCCCCTCCCCCAACACATCTTTACGCCTGCTGGAGGTTGTGCACAAGATCAGAGGCCACAGTGGCACCATGAAGATGGTGGAGGATGAAAAACAGCTGCCATAACTGCTCTGACCCAGTTGGGATCCCGCTGGCCCCACATCACTCAGGCAACTCTCTCTTCCCACCTGCCCCCCAAGCTCCCTGCCACCTCCCTCCACATGTATCCTCCCACTTCCTTCCACTCATGTAATGAAAGGTGCTGATGAGTCACAGGAGAGGAAGCCCTAGATAACCAACAGACTGCAAAACGGACAGTCCCTGGATGTCTGAGCCAGTATCTGTGTGCTGCATTGACTAGCTCCTCACAGTTTTATCCTCTGGTTGCTAAACGCTGTAAGGTCTGTGTGATGAATATTTTCCAACACATCTTAGAAGAACATAATGCAAGACAGAATGAAAAACGAGAGAGACAGAAACCCCCAAAGGAGGGAGTAGGAAATGACCAGGAATATAATAGGTCAAGGCTGCTCTGCAGGAGCTCAAGGGGTTGCAGCATTCTTATCCCAAACCACAGAATCCTGGGCAAAAATAAGAAGTAGCCTCATTTTAGTGTTACCAGCTTCCCAACCCTGGGCATTCCTCATCTTCCTCAAGCTGTCCAGAGGCCCCAGGGTGACTCCCTGTAAGTCCCATGGGTGGCTGAGGTCTATTTAGAGGGAGCTTATAAGGGTATTTCCTTATAAGCTCTATGGGTGGCTGAGGTCTGTGTGAAGCATCTTGGAGACAGTGCCTCTGGCCACCAGCATGTGTCCCTGAATCTTCCATGTGCAAGTGGCCAGGAAATGAGATGTATGGAAATAGTCATCCTGGCACATCTGCAAAATCAGATCAAAATCCTGGAAGCTCTCCTAGAAAAAGAGACAGCCTCATCTGATTAAAGGGGCAAGTAAGTGTGATGAATTCCTGACAAGAGATGGCATGTCTGAGCAGGACCAGCCATCCTAAACTGCTCTCCTTTGTCCCCTGGAATTACAGTAACTGTGGATTCCTGAGTCCTAGATAGTAACAGTTATAGGAGTGAACAATCATGCATGGATAGGCACAGATAACACAGAGGCTGTCAACTTGTTTTGGTGAATTTAGGTGGTTTTCAAGCATCTCCTTCAATGGCCAGCTGTCTCCAGGATGCTCTCTGCAATGACCAGGACTTTTTTTTTTTCTTCAGATTCTCTAGAACCTACAACATTCACGTACACCTGCACATTTCTATACAAACTGACTCTCTTGCTTGCAACGTCCTTTGGCTTATGTAACTATTAGCCTCCTAAAGAGCTAAACCTAGCTAAAATGTTATGTCCTTTGTGAAGTTTTCCAGAATGTTTGCAGTATGTTACAAGAAGGAAAAATCCACCTCAAACCTCTACCGACTCCACTTGACTAGTGGTGATGGCCTGAGACATTCCCCTATTAAGAAGGATTCTGAAGCTGCAAAAAGCCCCTACAGAAAAGACCAGTGATCAGCATCTGAATAGGCAGAGCAGAGGGTTCTAGTTCCATGGTTTTGCCATCCAAACATGTTTGGCGTTTTAAATATTAATACTTATTATATTTCTGTAGTTTATGATTTAAAATTTTTTAAATAAGTTTTTCTCTTGGGTAAGTTGTAGTGAAAATAATCTTGTAAGCTTAAGGAGAGGGAAATAATGCCTATTGAAAATTAGAGGTTGTAGTAGGGCTTTATAAACACCATCTCATTTAACACACTTAACAATTCAGTGAGGCACATTTTATAGGTGAGGAAAAACTTGAAAGCTAGTAAGATTAAATAACTAGGTCAAGTTAATAACAACTAGCAAATTTAGACTCAAAAAATCAAGTGCTATGACTAAATTATGCTATGACTATGTCCAACATCATCTTGAGTATATTTTATTTTTCTTTTAAATCTCCCAAATGGCTCACTGTGTCCAGCACATAATAGCTGCTTATTACATAGTTGATCCTTAAAGTGCAGTAGGGACCCTTGAACATGATTCTATACGTTCTTGATCACTTTGTGTCTACGTCTCAGATTTTTCCACTTCAGATTAAATGATACTGGAAATACGGACGTCTGGATTGATCTAGGTTAAGTGATGCCCCGAACGGAGTATTTTAAGACATCTTGTGCCCCCTCGTGGAGGGGAAGGAACATTAGAAAGAAATTTTTTTTTTTTTTTTTTTTGAGATGGAGTTTCGCTCTTGTTACCCAGGCTGGAGTGCAATGGCGTGATCTCGGCTCACCGCAACCTCTGCCTCCTGGGTTCAAGCAATTCTCCTGTCTCAGCTTCCTGAGTAGCTCGGATTACAGGCATCCACCACCACACCCAGCTAATTTTTGTATTTTTTACTAGAGATGGGGTTTCTCCGTGTTGACCAGGCTGGTCTCGAACTCCCAACCTCAGGTGATCCACCCACCTTGGCCCCCCAAAGTACTGAGATTACAGGCATGAGCCACCGAGCCCGTCCAGAAAGGAAATCTTTTTAAGAACAGGAAGGGATGGGGATGAGGAAGGAAGCTCGGTTGCCAAGGTAACCATGAACCTCTTCCCAGCCATCTACATCAGTCCTTTTCTCTCCTTGATTTCCATCCAAGTGATTTCTCTCTTTTTTAAATTTATTTATTTTACTTTTTAAAATTTATTTATTTTACTTAGGTGCATACTATATCTGGCATTTCTCCCCATGTTATCCCTCCCCTCCCTCCCCACCCTCCACTGTCTCTCCCCTACCCCCCCAACTGCCTCCAGTGTGTGATGCTCCTCTCCCTGAGTCCACGTGTTCTCGTTGTTCAACACCCACCTTTGAGAGCTCAACCATTACACACACTGTCCTCTTCTTTGTCCTCAGTCTTGCGTATTTCTTGGATCACCATCTGTCCCTCTGTTCCCTCTTTGCTACCGAGGAAGGGCTAGAAGATAGTACAACAGGAAGTTTTTTAAAACCTAAAACCCAAAACATCATCAAAATAATTTCTAAGTGCATGTTTCTTTTCTTTGGGTTTTTGGTGTTGTTGTTGTTGTTGTTGTTGTTGTTGTTGTTGTTTTTGAGACGGAGTCCTCTGTTGACGAGGCTGGAGTGCAGTGCTGTGATCTTGGCTCACTGCAACCTCCGCAACCCAGTTTCAAGTGATTCTCCTGCCTCAGCCTCCTGAGTAGCTGGGACTACAGGCACCTGCCACCATGCCCAGCTAATTTTTGTATTTTTAGTAGAGATGGGTTTTATCATGTTGGCCAGGCTGGTCTTGAACTCCTGATCTCAGGTGATCTGCCCGCCTTTGCCTCCCAAAATGTTGGGATTACAGGCGTGAGCCACTGTGCCCGGTTTGAGTGCATGCTTCCTGAACTAAAGAAACCACCCTTCTGCCTCGAATGAGAACAGTCTCCTGAACATCTTGCCTCTTTGCCTGACTCACAGCCTGAGGTCTAAGCTCCCCCAGAATTTCTAGTCTCAGCAGAAAGATCAATGACAGGAGACTCTCCAGGTGATGAAATTAACCAATTAAGTAACCTCAATTGGCATCCTCCCATTTGTTCACCAGCTCACCTCCTGCCACAGGCATATCCTATTTCTCTCAGCCGTGTATGCACAACCCCCTCCATAGGGCACACAGGAATTTGGAAGAATAGAGAATCAGGCAAGGTATAGCTCACCTAGAGGGCTGGAGTATGGTAGCCTAGGCCTGGACACCTGTACATTGGGAACTTGACTATGTGCAGGCAAATCACAGGTTCTGCACACGCAATTTTTTGTTCTCCCTGAGAACAGTAGCATCTTTTGTAGAATTCTAGCTTTATTCCATTGCTTTCACATTGGCCAGCAGTCAAAAACCTAGTTACAAATATCCACCGCCCAGTCTCTGACTGAGGGCTCCTGGGAAGGGAGGTTAGGGCTCAGGAGAAGGTGGGGTTTTTGCACAGATGTCTGCCCCACCCAGCTCAGTGTGACACTCCAGGCACAGAGATAGAAGCCAGAATCACTGGGGAGGAGCTTCTTAGAACTCAGGATGAACTGCCCGTCCTGGGGCCTGGAGGCTGAGAGATTCTGGGTCACCTCAGAGTCGACCTGGCCAGTACTCACTGAGTAGAAGAGCAGCTGGAGGCCCCTGTCTGCAGACTGTCGGTACCAGTATAGGTAGGGGTTTGATGTCCCCTTCACAGTGCACTCCAGAGAGAGGGGGCTGCCCACAGGCTGCACCAGGGTGGCTGGCCATTGATGAATAGTCTGAGATTTGGCCCCTGTGGGAAAGATAAAGAGCCACTTACAGAGGAGCACCCTAGCCTGGCTTGCCTTCCCCAGACAGAGGGGCAGCTCAAACTCTTGCATGGCGCAGGCACATGGAACCCATCATGAGGAGTAGATTGGGGTGGGGGGCGCCAAGGATGCAAAGCATCACCGGGCCAGGGAAGACCAACTGAACAAACTTTCTCCAAGGAGATAGAAAGAACCAAGACTCATCAGGTCAGCCCCTAAGGCTAAAGTCCCATATCTATTTCAGGCAATCAGAGGAATAGACTCAAGAGAGTCAAATTAACAGCTAAGACTCTGCATTCACTGGGTTAGGGTGAAGGTAAGGATCAGAAAAGAGGCTTGCCAGAGAGGAGGGCACCCACCAAGGAAAGTGCCCAGGAGAAGGACAAGGGGAAAGCAGAGCATCATCCAAGCCAGACTTCCCTTCAGTTAGTCTGGGGGACAGATGCCTCCTCTTCTGGGCCAATGATGTGGCCAGCCTGCTTCCTCGGGGAGATCTGCTGTCAGAGTAGAGGAATCCTACCCCTTTGAGCTAGAGAGGAAATGAGGCTAGTCTTTTTTCTAAGAGCATGGTGAATCACCCCCAGCCGCCCTGGGAACCAGCTGTACTCTGCACTTATTATCTTTGCATTCCTGCTGATGCCCTGGTATGTAAATATATTTAATGACTCATTATTTACCTGTAAACTACAGGTAACTCTCTAGCTCCTCCAGGAGATGTCAGAAGCCTGGGAATCCTTCAGAGAAACTGTGATACTGACAGAATGATGAAAAAAAGGATTTTAGTTTATCTGAAATTGGAAACTAGAGCTAAAGATGTTACCTGGGAGATAGAAGGATTAGGGCTCAAGAGATTCAGGTCTTTTGGGGTAATCAAAGCAGAAATGCTCAGTTCTGAGGGCACGAAGCTGCTGTGACAGCCGAACAAGGGATCATCTGCATCATTTCATCCCTCGCAGACAGGTATTGAGACCTGGACAGGCAGAATTAACTCCTGAACTGATCAAAGTTGGACTATGTTCCATGTGCCTCCAATGGCCCAACTAGATCTAATTTAGCCTCTAAATACAACATGAGTATCAGGAAACATCACGGAGCCTTGGAATCACAAGGATTTGGGTTCCTTTCACAGCTCTGCTTCTTGCTGGCTTGGGAACTCTGAAGCAAACTCCGATTTTCAATTTTCTTATCATCTATAAAATGAAAATAATGATGACAATACCTAAAAATTGTTGAAAGATGCATTGTGCCTGGTGCACTGCAGGCAGGCACTCTTACATGCGTTGGCTTTTTTTTTTTTCCTCCAGGAAAAGCGTGTGTCTCCAGCAAAGATTGGGAGATTTAGAATGAATGGGGTGGAAGGTGGGGGCTGAAGGGACCACAGAGCCACAAAAACCACTGTCAAGCCACCAATTCATAATAGATAAGGATTCATAAAAGCTAAGGATGGGAATCTGCTAGGCAGCTGCTAAAACATCATATTGCTAAAATGGGACGTAGGAGCCTGAGATGCTGGAGGACATCAGCACACCCTCGGAAGCTCCTCTTCCCTCTGTCTTTGCCATGCTGTGTACTCTGAAGGATTCATTTTCAGAACAGTTACTCAGTTTGGGTTGGATGTGGTGGAGCGGTCTGAGATGAGAACCCAGGAAAGAAAGCTGTAAAAGCTGCTGAACAAGGACAATAAGCCTTAAGCAAATAAAGCATTTGTAACACGTTCCCATTTCATCAGAGCCTAGTGATGTCATATACTTGTTATTGTTGCTGATGCTACAGTAACACAATTCCAAGTTAATGTTGGGGTTCTTGCTTCTGACAGTTTCGGCTAGAACACATTTCTTGTTTGCATTTGAATACACCATATGTATAGGGGAATGTTTTGGTTTTGGTCTTTTCTAAATGGAATTAATCCTCTTATAAGATGTATTTAAATGATAAATCAAGTGGTAAATGTAGTTTGCTTGTGGTGAACATTTGGAACATATGAAAAACAGCTAGAGCCAACACAAGAGCAGTTTTCATTGGCTGTTCCACAGTTGTTCAATCTCAGTTTTTAATAAATCTGATAATATAATGTCTATGCACCTTAAGATTGCAGGGAGTGAGGCCAAAATAAATATGTGCATACACAGCCTATTCCTCCCTTTATTTCCATTTAATTCTCTTTCCTCTTTGCTTTTGAAATTTTTATTTAGTCCCAAGTGGGGATGGGGTTGGAGAGAAAGTGGACAGGGGGTGGCGAAGAAGTGGTGGGAGACACAGGGGGAAAGAATGAGAATTGCTCTTGCTCTCGAGGGGACCACATCATATTTTCATTTGGCTGGCAGTCTTTAACACCAGCATATCCCATAATATCTGACTTAACTCATCAGCTGCATCAGCTCAGTGTCACTGCCATGTTAGAGAGCAATGCAATCTTCCTTCTCAGAGATGCTGCAGCAGATTGGAGGGTGAAGAGACATATCAGTCAGATCAGAGTAACCAGCTGGCTCCTGGCTCCCTGATCATTGTCACAACTCAGTAGCTAGAAGCTCCTTCCATATGGCTGATGCCTTTTAAAAATATCTTCTCAATCTCCATCCCCATCTGCAATACTGTTTAGTTATTCAATCATTTAAGTCATTCATGTATTGAAGAGAGGATGGGGATATGATCCCTCTGCTCTGTGTCAGTAGATCTATAAATGGGAGAGGCCTGGCACACATCTGGCCTAGGTGTGGAGGTGTCCTATGGAAGTAAAAGCTGGCTGGGACTGTGTTGTGCTCTCTCCTTGCCCTTCTGGTCATCTTAACATGTTCACCTCTTTCCCAAGCCTCCTTTCAAATCTTTTTGTTACCTTCTTTGGTTTTTTCCCTCCATACTAGATTCTTAATGAATCACTGCCAACAAGAGAACGCTTTATACATGAATAGAATGGCAATAAGAACTAACTCATCTTTTCAATTTTAAAACTGAAATATATTCCTATATAATAGATTTGGAAGATACTTGCAAAGTCTATTTGTTCCTCTACAGAAGAGTTAAAAATTAACTGGGCTAATGGAAAGAAGGGAGAGTCAGCCAATGAGATGCTCCTGAGCTTCCTGAGCTTTGACTTACCTCTTCTCTTCCACCTCCTGATCAAGGAAAGGGATGAGACAGAGATGGAGAGAGAAGAAACGGAAATTCAAAAGTTTTGACGACAGAGGAAAATTGTGCTTATTTCCAGAATGAGATGATCAAGGTCCTGGGTCCTTACATGTCATACTGGTTAGAGACTGGTAAGTAGAAATGACTTGTGGTTAGCAGAATAATGGCTAACAAGGATGTCCACATTCTAATCCCCAGGATCTGTGCATACGTTAGGTTACATGGCAAAGGGGAGTTAAGATTGAAGATGGAATTAAGGTTTCTAATTGCAGGGTCCTTAAAACAGGTAGAGTAGTCACAATTATCCAGATGTGCCCCGTGCAATCACAGGGGTCCTTCAACATGGAAGACGGAAACAGAAGTAAGTCAAAGAAAGAGATGTGGACGTGGAAGTAGGCAAGAGAGATGCCATGCTGCTGGCCCTGAAGATCAAAGGGGGTGTGAGCTAAGGAATTGTTGGATTCAAAAGTAAGTGCCTCTTCAAAGGATTTAGTTTATTTAGTTCCCACGTTCTTTATTCCCCAGCTTCAAGGCCAGACTTCCTTATCCTTTGGGCCTCCCTGCCATCGTTCAGCAAAGAACTTTTCTGCTCCTCCTAATCTACAGAGCCCACATCTGCTATTCACTCTGTAAATTATCCCTCCTGCCACAATGACTCTTCCCACCTGTACTGCCCTTACCCCTCATTACACACACATCTGTGCTCTTCAAGTTAACCAATCAGATTCAGCTTAGATTGTGCAGTCCAACTCCAGCCAATGGAGGCAGGACACAGTAACAAGAACAAACCGTATTAAAAATAAAAACCTCTTCCCTTCTTTGTTCGGTGTGCTCTCACAGCAACCAGCCTTGTGAGCAGCACTCTTCTGCAAAAGTAAATGTGCCTTATTGAGAAATCCTTAGCTTGAGTGCTCGTTTCTTTTGTGACTCTGAGCTTTTATTCCCAACAGGAACGAAGGTGGCCTCCAGAAGCTAGAAAAGGCAAGAAAATGGGTTCTCTTCTAGAGCCCTCAGGGTAGAATGCAGCTTAGCTGACACCTTGATTTTAACTTGGTGAAACCTGTGTCAGACTTCAGAATCATAAAACTGTAAGATAAGTTTGTGTTTTCTTAAGCCACTAAGTTTGTAGTAATTTATTATAGCAGCAGTGGAAAAATACATGGCTCTAGAATATATCTTAACAAAGGGACCTGAGGTAGTCCTCAAGAATCACTAAAGATCTCAGGATAGATCAGGAATGGCCATTTTCTCATTTATAGGAAAACAGATTAACTGAGAGAAGCCATCAAGCCTGAAGAGGCACCATGTTTGAAATGTATAAGGCACAATGCACCCACCATGGATTAACACAGCCTGAAGGACAGATAGACACACCAAGGGTCAGCAGATATCAGTGTAGACAGGTGGTGATGACCGTGCAAATGAGAGTCATGAAGGAAAGTTAAACAATGACCAAAGGGGGACCAAGTACCTTCCCCACAATGGCTTTGATAAGTGCTTTTATGAGCGCCCCAGAATTTAGACACCACCCAGGGAAAAAAGGAAAGGGAGAAAAGCACGAATTTTCTAAGAAACCCCTGAATTAATCATGTATACCTCAATAGAACAGGGATCTAGATATAAAATAATTTTAATTATAGAACACCAGATTATATTTTACCCACCCATATTTGATGCCAATGAATTTCATATCTAGCTTACATGCACATAAAATTCAAGCTGAGATAGGTGGAAAACAGAAAATTAAATAAGAATTAATATTTGCCTTCTAATAACTTACCTATTTGGGGGAAGTAAAAGATAGGAAAGTAGTTTAGATAACAAATACTAAAAGAGTTTAGGAACTCTTGCTTCCACT